GAGCTGGACCCAGACTCCGCCCCCTGCCCCCCGCCCCCAGCCCCTCTTCACCGCGGAAAGGCGAAGGCGCGGCCAGGGCGCTGGGCTCCGCGGCAGCTGGGGAAGAGGCGGCGGTGCGGGAGTGGAGTGCGGCAGGGGCTGAAGGCGTCCCAGTCAGTGGCCAACTGAGCCTGTCCCTTGCAGCCCCTTGCTGGCCACGGTGCTGCTGGTGGTGGCCGCCCGCCTTCAGGGACGACGTGCACCTCCGGGCAGACGCCTGTGGCTGGCCCGGGCTCCCGGCTCCGAACGCTATACCAAGCCAGAGCTAAGGTGGTGGCGCCGAGCCAGGCATGTCCGATACCGGGCGGAGCCGAGGGCACCATAGCTCATTACCTGGTTTAATCCAGCAGGGTGCAGGGCCCCAACAGATACTGGACTGCAGTTTCCGATGCCAGGTTCCCCGTCACTACTATTGGACACAGGTAGACTTCTGTCTCTGACAAATCTGCCAAATGTTTTTCCTAAGCCCCTAAAGGGTCCACGTGGCCTAGAAATGGAGAGGTTGGTACTGGGTCTAAAGTCCACATCTGATGTCTGTTGGCCTCACCTCCTCTGCCTTGGCGGGTGCTATTCCAGCCCTACCCCTACGCTGTGTTGTAAAGCACCAAACAGGTGGCCTTGGGGCCTTTGCACAAGATGTCCCCTTTGTCGGGTGGGTTTGCCTTCTGCGACCTTGTCCGCAATTCCCTCAGGCACGGGACTGTGCTTCTCCCTACTTTGCTACACGTGACCTCTGCCTCTGCTGGGGGAGCTGCAAGGGATCAAGAACAGGCCCCTGCTCACAGCATCCTCCCCTCCGCCCTGAGCTCACAGGTGGAGCCCGCAGAGAGCCGGGATCTACACTGATTATACGCAGTCACCACTAGGGGGCGCTCGTTCCAGTTACTGGGCAGTCTTTCCAGCTGCAGACCTGGGTCCCTTGTTTGGCCTCCCTGTCTTCTGACATCAGCCTCGGGGCATCGTCTCTGAGTCCTCGCCCAGCCCTGAGAAGTCGGCGCTGAGAATAAGGAAGCGGCTTCCGTGAACTCCAGGTCTCTAAACCGCAAAATCCCAACCACCTTGAACCAGAGCTTCTTAAAGGCCTCAAGCGAGGGCGGCATTGAGATCCACGCATTTAAGAGCTTGCAAGAAAAGCCAGCCTGGCCTCCGTAGTTGGGCAGCAACCACCCACCTAACACGACAGACGTACCTGGACATCCTTGGACTTAGCTCCTTGGCAGCTTTTCCTGATACAAACTAAAATACCCAGTGCTTTCAGTGTGCTTCTAGGGTTGGTTCCTCATTCTCCTGATTTGCTTAATTTCCTCCCTCCCATCCTGGCATGATTTCTCCAAGATCGTGGCATATGCTAATTTACATAGCTGCTGCCTCCATACTTTCCTCCGTGCAAACCATTTTTCAGTTGGTAAATTTTTCTCTCTTTGATGCAAGCATACTGACAAGATTTTTTTTCTCACCTAAGATCAGAAAACTTTGCAGATGAGAAGGCTGATACTATTCGCTTAAGCCTTAATTCATGCACATATGTCTGTTTGTGCACACATGTGACGTAACGCAACCATCTTCATCTGGAGTCTTATAACTAGACTAAGGTACTCTGGCAGCGACAAGTCATTCCGTTCGAATAGCAGTTGCCGGGCCCTTCTATGTTGTTTGGAGGCTGGGGACATAAGTCCCACGATGGCATCGCCCAGCTTGCATGCTGCTCTCAGCAAAGGCAAAGCTGTATGTGTATGGCCCAGGATCCTAGGAAAGCAAGGGCTACCCATGTCCCTGGCTCCTGGGAAAGCAGCAGCTAGCCACGATGGGTGTGTGCTTCACTGACCCTTTGAGGAAACTCTCATCCCCATTCACACATAATATTGTCCTTAGGATGATTATGCTAATTAGTTTGGCCAACAGGCAAGTCCCTCCCTGAGCTGCCTGGTGCCCGGTCCCCTGGATGCCTGGGAAACTCTTGACTCCAAACAAAAGCAGGAAAATAAAAGTAACTGTTTTCAAAGAACCTCAGAGGGGCCCTTGAGCTTTTGCTATCTCCCACCACAGGCTCAGCTTATCACAATGCTTTGAGTCCCCTTTCTGTACCATGTTCCATGATAAATTGTATGACACAAATACAGAGCAGTTTCTACCAATCAATTTCTATGAGGGTGGACTCAAAAGAGGGTCTTCTACCTTATTTCTGGCTCCTTTTCAATGGAAGTCATTTCAGCGTTCCCCACACTCCTCATTACAGTGGTCCCCAACTTTTTTGGCACCAGGGACCACTTTTGTGGAAGATAATTTTTCTGTAGATGGGGGAATGTTAGAGTCTTATGTAGAGCATGCAGCCTAGAGCTCTTGCAAGCAGAGTTCACAGTAGGGTTCAAGCTCCTGTGAGAAGCTAATGCCACTGCTGAGCCAAGAAGAGCAGAGCTCAGGTGGTAATTGGAGTCACGGGCAGTGACTGTAAATACAGATGAAGCTTCACTTGCTTACCCGGCATCCACCTCCTGCTATGTGGTCTGATTTCTCATAGTCCCTGCTCTAGGGGTTTGAGCATCATAGGACAGTTCTCTACCCAGTGCCAGGCTTGGGTTCGAGAAACCTCCTCTAATCTTCATTTCAGTGGTCATTTAAGAGGAGTCTCCATGAGCCAGCCCTGTGAAGGTGGTTTGAGTATCCTAAGGGTGGCTTAAAAGGCAAACAAAGACGAACAAGCAACCACAGCATAGGTTGGTATCATTCATGCCACAAAGCAGGAAGCAACATTTCCTCAAGGACCGGAAACTAGGAAGTCATCTAAGGCTAAGGCTGCCTGCACAGATGTGTGCTGCTGGTAGGCACATCTACTTATTGGGCATAATCTCTAGGGGTCTCCCTGGGAAGCACCTCAAAGGTTCACCTGGGCAGGGCAGCAGTCTGGCACCCCATAAGCATAGATCCTTTATTACAAAGGTAAAAATAAAAAAATTGCTGTGTAAAGAGTTTTATACACAGTTTAGTCTCAAATTCTCTCAACTAATCAAAATAATCTGAAATCTGTTCTTATAGTTAGGCAAAACTAGGAGACATTTCCAACTGAGGAGAGACAGAATGTTGCCTAACCAGGAGAAGATTCAAAGCAAGAGAAAACATGTGAGCTACCTACATACGCTAACGAGTTCTGAATTGTGTATTACCTTTCAGGAAGAAATAATGTGGGATGTTAGGGAGAGATCAGTGGAATGAGACTTTGCAGGCTGGAGAAGATTTTTTTAAAAATTATTTTATATTGTTTTGTTTTTAGCAAAATTGCAAAGAATCTGAAAAAAAAAAAAAAAAAGGAAGATGAAAGCGTTTCCCCAACTCCCGGCCTACAGAGTTAAAATAGGTACCAGGGAAACAGGAAGGAGGTCCAGGATTAGATGTCTCCTGAGAAGCTCCATGCCCCACCCGCCCACATGGACTTACTTGCAAAGCAAACTAGGATCCAGTCTGGTCCTCCCCTGATGAAAACCCACCAACATCAACATGAGAAGATCCTGGATACAAGCCAGGAAAGCAGCCAGCCACTGGAAGCAAATGGCAAATCTGGAAAGAGGATTTGTAGTTTGATACTTCACTCCCTGTGTGGGGAGTTTGGGCTGAGGAGGAGAAGGATAGGAGCAAGATCTCCAAAGTTCTGTGCATCTTGGGGTCTGTGCCACTGAGCTTCCCTCTCCAAAGTAAAGGCGCCCAAGAACACTGACTTTGCAGGCTTAAGGGGCACCTGGGAAAATCTTTTCATCACAGTTGAAAACTTCAATCTGGAGTTCAGGAGGAAAGACTCTGATGGAGCGGGAATTGAGAGTGACAGCTGTCTGCACTCATCCAGATCACAGATGTGGGCCGGTCGCCCAAAGGAGCACAGTGGAAAGAGGATCTGTACACAGGGAAACACAGGGTCTACGGACCCCCTAGGCAAGCGAGGCTGTGCTTGTTTGGAAAAGGGTGTTGTAATCATGTGTAATTTTCCTATAAATGTGTAGTAAGGAATATCTAGGAAATAAAGAAAAGCATGAGTAAAACCACCCAGCGAAACGTAATGCCAAATTTTGGTGACCTTCCCTCCACAGTATTTTTTTTATATTAACCACTTTCTACATGTAATGTGAAATAATATGCATATATGTATATAGTGTGTGTATATATTACATCATGTAATGTTGCATTTTACATTAAGTTGCATTACATAATAAATAGCTTTAATCCACATGTACCATATATAAATGCAAATCTTATTTTGCACTTAGTGTATTACCGTGAATATCTCCCTACCTTATCGAAAAAGTCTCAAGGAGCCCACTCATCAACACAGAGCACATACCTCACCGAGGAGAGACCAGTCAGGCGAATGCACCCTGTGCTTTGGCAGAAGGCTGTGAATTCATGTCTGTCTTATTGGCCCTCAGCCACCCCTTGCCTGTGTGGCTTACTCCCCAGACACACCCAGCCCGAGCGGGGGTCCTGCGTCTTTGCTAGCTTATTCATGCTGCCTTCCATGTCCTAGTGACATCCTGAGCATACTCCCTTCACCTTGTGTCACAATCATTTATGAAGATGCCCCAGTACTACCTCCCCTCCTGCTTTTCAGGGAAGGAGTTCCAGATCAATCTCACTGATG